AAAAAAAAAAATTTGAAAAGAAAAAGCTGAGCTCTCAATGCCCACAAAACAAGAGGCCCCTTAGAATGGACTAAGGGATGCTGCTCTGTCTCACATCCTCCTACCTCCCCTTGCTCAAGTCGGCTAGGGCCGAGCACAGGCTTCCGGGGGCTCCTCAGACGTGTTGGACCACCTGCCTCAGGCTTCCTGTGCTTTCCGTGACTGCTCTTCCTGAGAGCAGAAACTCTCCTCCCTGGGATCATCTCCTCTCCTCCGTATCTCAGCTCCAATGTGACTTTACTAGTGAGGTCTTTTCTAGCTACCCTATTTAAAATTGCAACCCCTCCTCCCGTCACCTTCTCTCCCTAGTCCCCTTTCTAGGCTTTATTTTTCTCTGTGGCAGTACCCAGCAAACTATTTCTAAAACTTTATTTCTAATTCTCTATTCCTATAAACTCCATGGGCAGAGACTGTTTTATTCAGTGCTATATCCCTGGTGACTACCACAGTTCCTGACACATAGTGGGTGCCCATTATTTTTTTTTTTTAAGATTTATTTATTTGAAAGAGCATGCACGCGAATGGGGTGGGAGAAAGGGAGAGAACCTTCAAGCAGACTCCCTGCTAAGCGTGGAGCCCCATGTGGGGCTCAATCCTATGACCCATGAGATCATGACCTGAGCTAAAACCAAGAGTCAGCCGCTCAACCGACTGAGCCACCCAGGCGTCCCTCAGTAAATATTTGTTAAGTGAATTAATTCTATAATCTCAGTGAGGTATAAATAAAATATTTTCTCTTGGCAACAGCAGCTCATCAACTGAAGGCAAAAGCTCCTGTGGTAGCCAGTCTCCAAAGGATCAGTATTGGTCACACCTCCTGGCAAGCCTGCCTGTGTGTGGTCCCCTCCCACACCATAACAGCATTGGCCTGTGTGACCAACAGGGTATGACAGATACGATGGTAGCTCCCTTCTGAAGTGAGGTCATAAAAGGCATTGTGGAGGCTGCCATGTTTTCCCTCTACTCACTAAGTCTAGGAGGAGCTAGCTGCCATGTTATGAGGATACTCTGCAGCACTATGGAGAGACCTGCATGGTGAGGAACAGCCACTGTGTGAGCCATCTTGAAAACAGATTCTCTGGCCCTGGGCAAGACTGCAGCCCCTATCTATGTCCACACTGTGGTCTCATGAGAGACTATAAGCCAGAGCTACTCAGCTAAGCTGCTTCTCAATTTCTGACCTATACTCACTGTGAGATAGTATGTTTACTGTTTTAAGCCACTGAATTTTAGGGTAATTTGCCAGGTAGCAACGGATAACTAAATACACTGGACTCGTGCACAGCATTCAGTTTTGATGATCCAAATAGTTTTTTTACATATATCACAAAGCTTCTCCCACCTCTCTAACCTTCCTTCATGTGGAGAGGCAAAAATCTGGATTAACATCTATCATTTTTTGTTTTGTTGTTCATTAATTTTTTGGAAGAAGTTTTTTAAAGAAGATTCGTTTATTTGTGGGGGGGGGGAATGCACACAAGCTGGGGGAGGGGCAAAAGGAGAGGGAGAGAGAAAATCCTCAAGCAGACTGCCCACTGAGTGTGGAGCCCGAAGTGGGGCTTGATCCCAGGACACTGAGATCATGACCTTAACTGAAATCAAGAGTTAGATGCTTAACCAACTGAGACACCTAGGTGCCCCTGGAAGAAGTTTCATATTCCCTATATTATCTAGTGCAAATAAAGCTTTTGCTATCCTTTGTTGAATGACTCCCGAAAATTATACCTATTTCTAAGTTTTTTTGTTTTTGACTTTTAAAGCTGACATCTGATTATTCAAGGATAGAATCTCATTCCATCTTTGGGAATTATCATACTCAGAAAACCAGTTACCTAATTTTGTACCTATTTTGACCTCCGTGTACTGCAGAAACTAAGTTCAAGACCTCTGGCCCCATCCATTTCTCAAGCCTAGGTCACAAATAAAAATTCCAACAAATTCTCTTTATTAACAATTGTCTTCAGTAAAGTCATCTAAATAGGTTACCAAAATTCTAGAAGAGGAGGAAAGAGTGTCAAAGAAATCACCCATAATCTCATCACAGTTTTGAGTCTGTTTCCTCTGCATCATCTTAGGACACAGCTGTAAACATCCTGCAGACAGGCCTGGTCTTCCCCACAACACAGGCCAAGCGGCTGCCCATAGGAGCACAAACCTTAGAGCCACCATGATATTTTACTAGGAGATATTACACAATTATGCAATTCAAGCTTTCTCCTTTTACTCACTTTGGTGACATTTTCTTTAAAAATAAGTTGTAAAATGTCAAGATCCATAGTAATAATCAGCTATAAACCACTGACTTAACTTACTGGCTTCTGTGGTTAAATATTTTTTTTCATTGCTCCATTTGCTCCATTTCCAGAAAGTTTCAGTAGAACAGCGAATCCGAAAAGTATATATAGTATATGGATTTAACTTGTCCACAGCCACAAGATAACTTGAATTTTCTACTCCTTTGATTGTGACATTCCGCTATTAGAAAGCAAATCAATATGTATATGTATATGTAATGTCATGTAAGAATCCACATATATATATAACACATAAACACACATTTTTGATAAACCACCCAAATTTATAACATAAATTGACTAAATGTCCATGTGAGTTTACCTTTGTAAGACTAACGACAGTTCATCCACCAAAATATTTTAATTTTTACATAAATACCAAATCTGTGGAATTATGCCCTGTAGTAACAATATATTTAGGTATCATTTTAATTCAAATACTGGGTCTAAGTAATAATGATCAATTAAATTATGCAGAAAGGATGATATAATCTTGTTCACTGGTCAATGGCTAATGGTAATACAACAAGCCTTAATATACTTTAGTAATCTAAGATGACCTTGAGGATTAAGTACATTAGTCAGCTATATTTGGAAGCTTCTTTGAGGCAGGCATCATCTGATGCATTTTTTTAATAGGGCACTTAGAACTTCTAGTATGGTGCTAAACATGTAGAATATTCAACAAATTCTTATTTAAATTATGTAAAATTAAAATGACATAATTTAAAAAATCTGAGGATCTGCATGCCTCAGGAAATCCTCTGAGCTCCCAGTTACGAATTATAAAGGAGTTTTTCGGATTATATTCTGGCATTTGACTGATTTTCTAGCAATCATCAGTAAGTTTCCAAATGAGTATTTTCACTACAATATCTTTTATTTTGGACTTACCACAAATTACAAGATGGTACACTACAAAAGTCAAGCTAAGTATCTGAAATGTATTTTAAAAAGTCATGTTCTGACTTATAACGACCACATTCTGACTTAGAACTTGCTCCTATTGCTGCACTTGGCAGTTTTAGAAATCGCATCTTCTCTCTGGTGCTTATCAGTCCATTAACTGATGCTAAAGGTTATAGCAAAAACTATTCATTCATGTTCAAATTTGCTGAGTACCAGCCATGTGCCAGGTACTATATTAGACCTGGTAACATTCTGAGTAGTAAAAGTCAAACTCACGTTCTACAATACCCAGGATTTTAACTGTTTTCAAGTGCTAAATATAATGCTGTCATTACACTGATACATAATGTCTTAGTTCTTAGTAAATTTCTATAATAAATCATCTGAGAGCTTCTGCTATCAATTTCTTTAATTAGTTTTGAAAAATATTTTATCCAAAGTAACCTCAAAGGAAGTTTATAGAAAAATCTTACCAATTCTTGGACTGAGTTAGTTGTGTTAATTTCAATTTGACATAAAAGTTTAATCTTTCCAAAGTTGCCTGGTAAATGCCAGGAAAGTGTAACAGCGGTTGAATTAATATCCTTTACTCTGATTGAAGTAGGAATTCGAGGATAGACTGTAAATATAATTTGTAAAGATTACTTTAAAAGCTACTTAAGAATACAATAAATGACAATTAAAAAAAAATAACCAAAAAAAAAGACCAACAACAAGAAACAAGAGAGGTAGCATTAGTACCGATCAACAATATTCCACTCAGTACCCATGGCATACACAGACCTCACTTTCACTGCTGGTATCGTGCCACCAACCACATTCAAGGTTCCTAGACTGGCATCAGGAATACCAAAAGGTAGTAGGATCATAATCTCTACCTTTAAGGAACCCCTAATTTATTTGCAGAGTGACAAAAAAAAAGAGAGAGACAATGAACAAGAGTCTATATGCTAAGTTGGAAATGTGTGGTACAGCTCTTAGCGGCTACAGGAATTGAGATACAAGTGTGGTAGGGAAAGTCTTCGAGTGAAGATGGGACTTAGATGAGCTTGGAAGGAAGAATCTGACTAAAATTGGCAAAACGGATGCAGAAGAGCATTTCCGATTGGGTCTTGGCAAGAACAGTACAACAGTGGAACAAGCCGCACACGATGCTGGTGATAGCACTTAGGCCCATGTGAGTGGGAAGAAGGAACCGTGTGAAAATAAGGTCGAAAGGCGGAGGGCAGACAAATACTAACACTACCACTCAAGTACAAAATGTAGCTCTTCTGACCTTAGGAAAAACCAGGAAACAACAAAAATGATGAGGAGGAATAATTAATAGAAGTGTACTTACATCTACAAATAGGGCAACAAGATCAGTTACACTAAGCACTTGCTAGGCTCTGTTATAATGCATTTGGTTTAAGCCTTTCTCCACTAACCGAGAGGCTCTAAGAGAAGGCCTCTGGACTGCAGAGCCTGCATGCAGCCGACGCAGTGGAATGCCCACGGGAATGAATGCTAAGAAGAAGGGCCATATTTTATTTCTATTTTGAACTACATATTACTAGGGCTGGTAAAAGTCCCAGAATCATCAGCAAGAAGAAGGAACAAACCACTTATTGATAAACACAGCAAGCTGGATGGATCTCAAGGACATTGCCCTTAGTGAAAAAAGGCTAGGTATTGTAGGATTCCATTTATACAACACTTCAAAATGACAGAGGATCTCAAACACAGAGATGAAGAACTGAGTAGATGTTGCCTGGGGACAGGGATGCAGGAGCATGGGGTAGGGGGTGGGTAGCGGGGAAGTGTGGCGAGGTTTGCTAACGGGGCAGCAAGCGAAAGTCTCTTCGTGGAGACAGACCAGTTCTGTATCTTGACTGTGTTGGTGGTTCCGTGAATCTATACATGGATCCAACTGCACAGAAGCACATCGACGCACACACGCCTCTGAACACACACAGAAACTTGAGAAAACTGAGCAAGGTCAGTAGTCCAGTTCACTGGTCTAGTTTGTGGTACTGTATCAGGGTCGATTGCCTCATTTGGAAATTGTACTGTAGTTAGTAAGACGTCACAAGCGGAGAAAGCCGGGTGAGGTCACGGGGCTTTATTATTTTTGCAACCACTTGTGAGTCTATAATTATTTTAAAATAAAAAGACTGAAAAAAAAAATAAAAAGCTTTTAAAAATTGGGCAAAAATTTTTCAAGAATCAAAAACTATTAGATAAAGCCACTTAAAGTTTCTATATAAATGACTCATACAAATTTTTATCTGAATTCAATAAAATGGTGAAACTTGAAATTATACATTTTAAGGATTTTTAAATAAAACTTATAAAATTAAGTAACTCTAAAGAAAATTATAAAAAGGAAACCCCAGAAGCACTTTTCATTAATTTCAAAACATTTTACCACTTCTAAAATTATTTTTAAGACACTGGTTTATGCAGCAGCTTACCTTTTTCAGTTATGTTAACTAAAATAGTTGATTCTGATCGACCCAGAGGATTGCGAGCATTCAAAGTAAAATTATATATTTCTTGATTTGGACGCATTTGAAAGAATAACTGATAGCTTTCGTTTGTTGGTGCTTCAACTCTTTTAAATCTAACATATTTCCCTGAAAAACTATGAATTAAGAGAGCAATAAGAAATATTAAAAGAGAGATAAATACTTCAGGAAAAAAATGAATGGGTAAATTTCTAATAATTAATCTTTTTTAAAAGTTTTTATTTCTAATTCTAGATGCACTATATACTTGGCAAAGAAAATGTATATGATTCAGAAAATAGATGAAAATAACTGCCCAGAAGCCTATTACCTAGAAACAGTCTCTGTTCATATTTGAGGGTTCTTCTAGGATTTTTAGAAAAAGCATACGAATCTAGTCTGTGTGCATGTCATTTGCAGTATTTATGGTATATCCAATTTTATACAGCATATTAGGTTTTATATCTTACTCATAACATAAATGAGATATCGCATTTCCCTATGTCATTTAATACCCTCCAAAGTGCTCCTCACTGACATCTTTCCCTGGTGACTTTTACCTTTCAAATAAAGTGTAACTTGTATTGCGTGGGCCCACCAATGCAGTTGGTCTTCCCGGATTCCAAGTACAGACAATCTCTTTTAAATCACAGGTCTCACAGTTCAGTTTTTGAGGAATATCAGGTGGATCTAATAGGAAAAAAATGTAGTTACATCTTACGGGTTACATATATTTTCCCTGAAAACATGTTTCATAATGTTAACTATATTTTGTACAATTTCCTTTAGAAATGAAATAATGTATTGTTTAGATTTTACCTTTTGAACAATGCAGGAATTGCCATGCTTTCTGTAGCATGTTTTTCTGGAGTTCATATTATGTTAGAAATGATGGGACAAAAATATACTGCAGAATGACTACTAGCTCATTTGGAAACTTCCCAACAGCAACCTGAAGACATTTTTTCCCCCTTAAATCCTACCAAATCTTTCAAAGGAAGCTGTATCCAACAAATCAGAAAAATCTACAGGTTAAAAGTATTATCACGTAAATACTGGTATTTGAAAAGAAGTACCAACTCGGATTAAAGATCAGCACAGGTCATATTACAAGTTTCAGAGTTCTTAAATAAGTTACAATGATTATTATTTACAAAGTATCTCTTGGTAAAATTCTGCATCTTCCAATGTTCAAAGTGACTACTGCTCTTCTGTTTTTGTTCTTTATGGAACACTCCCTCTGGTTTTGCAGGGGCAAAACTAGAAAAAAGAAAAATGGGGGTTTTTTGTGTGTCTTAGACCTTTAAAGTAATAATGCAAAATTCTGCAGATGGACACTAATTATAGAAA